AATTTTCATTACAGTACCGTATTGACGGTTCTAAATTAAAAGTGACCATTGTCGTTAATATGTCAAACGCTATTCTTTCGACACTCAAAAACGTTGACGCAATTCGTCTCGGTCAGACGTTCAAAGATGACACCACTGGCAAATTAATGTATCAAAACACACGTACACACGCTGTATCGCGATTGCAAACGTTCAAGTCACCACGTTCACGTATAACTCGTCTTGAAATTTGAGCGGTTCAAACGTGGTACGGGGTCAACCGCGCGGTTGCTGATAAAATTTGCCGACGTGTCGATCAAACGCAGTTACGGCATAGAGTAATTAGTCCGCGCTCGCTACCGTTTAGAAACCCTTTGTACACTCTCCACCACCACCCGTCTCAGTCGCTGACAATTCGTCCTGAACGCACCTCCCACGCTCCCACGTGATATCTTCGAGAAAAATAAAAACGTGTTTTCGTGGTAGCAACCGTCGCCACGACAACAGGTCGCACGTGGTAGCAACCGTCGCCACGACAACAGGTCGCACGTGGCAGCAACCGTCGCCACGACAACCGGTCGCACTTGATAGCAACCATCGCCACGATCGACGACGGCTCGCCGCGTCTCCATGGGCGACGGTCGCATCCGCCGCCGCCGCCGCCGCTGCCGTCGTCGCCCGGCCTCCGCAGCCGCAAATCTCTTCGTCGAAGGGAGACGTCTCTTTCTGCGCTCCCGCGCTCGCTCGCTCGGAGCCCCGCGACCATCAGGGGCGACGCGGTGACGTGGCCAGCTACACCTTCTACATGTCGATGGACAGAACGCTGGAATTGGACTCGAGCGCGTGCGCGATCTCCTTTGGGGAAATAGAAATTTAATTTTAAGGAGATAGTAGGTATATGCACACAGATACGCCTGACCCTATAATGTACGGCACGCTGTGCATCAGCCAGATAGTCTGCAGCCTGCGGTAGCGCTCGGAGTTCAGGTGCAACGGGTTGCCGCACCGCAGGCCCTGGTCCGTCTCGCCGTAGTCGTCGAGATAGGGCGGCGGGAAGAAGCTGCCCTTTGTCCGCCCCGAGAGCAGCAGCACCTGACACTCGCGTGAGAGAGAGACGAGAGAGAGAGAGATATAGTGAGAAACGAGAGAGAGAGAGAGAGAGAGAGAGAGAGAGAGAGAGAGAGAGAGAGAGCGAGAGAGACGAGAACGCGTGAGTGACGCGGCGAGACGCGACGAACGGACGCGCCATAAAAACAGCAAAAATATCAGAAATACTTTTTAAAAATGACGAAAAACGCGAAGGTTAGCTACATCGAAAGACGAAAAGCGACGTCCAAATTTGCCTGCATGTTTCAAGCATACTTTATCCTGATTATTATACGTGGCTACTGGTAAATTACTGGAATAGTGATTTTTATAATAAAATTGCTGGACATTGAAGCATATATATATATGTGTGTGTAGTATAGTTTCCCAGGTAGAAAATTTCATTTTCTAGTTCATTGTCAGTTAAGTCAGCGTAGCGTAATGTAGTGAGGTGTAATACTTACAATTACATTAATAGATTACTTTCTTAGTATAAGGTAGTTGTAGCGATATAATTTGAAGATAAAACCTAATTGAGTTCTAATTAAAAGTGGGATTTGTACGGAATGTTCGTGAACAGGTGTGACAATAAAATGATGGAACTCGGACTTCTTGGTATTGGCCACACGGGGCGATCGTTGTTACATTTGAAAATACACGTGATTTCATAACTGTGTAAACTTTATATTTTTACATAATAAGGATCAGATGTAAATCGGATTTTAGATGTAATACTGTAGCCCATCGTTACACATCAATATTTTAAAGACATTACTATAGATAGTTGTATACATAAAATATAAAATAATGTTTATAATATGATAAAGATATATGACCTTCAATGACAGATTTAGAGATTTCGTAGTGTAGCTACTAGCTCGCCGGAATAGCTCAGTTGGAAAAGCATTAGATATAAAGATCCTTTCTTCAAACCTGGTTTCTGATTTTTTTTACCATGAAATAATAACAAAATTGTTAGCTATATTTTGAGCAACTACGCTTAGTATATATTTTCCCTATAAAGCACAGTGTTACTCTAATACCCCGTACAGACTGCAAATTTGATACCACATCAAACTAGGGTTAGGGTTGGAGGCGTGGGCCGAATGTTTGCAGTGTGTACGCACGCTATCCGGCTCTAAATATGCACTGG